CTGCTGCAGCCACCAAGGCGAGGAATGTAGACGTCTGGTTGGGTTGGGCTAGATTTGTTAGGTCTGCATGAGGCCTCAGGATGGCCCTGTGAGAGCAGCCCAAGTCACCCAGGAGAGCCAGCAGAGCATCTGGGTATGACATATGAGCCCCCTACCACCACTCTTTACTGTTCAAACTGGAGAAGGGCTGAAAACACGTGGGCAGCCAAGCACCTTTTATGGGCTTCTGGAAGCTCATCTAAGCCACAGCATCAAGTGTACCACATGATGCTCACTCACAGTATGAGCCCCCATGAGCAAAGCAGTGACCCCAACACTGAGTGCATGGTAGAGTCCCATCTGCTCCCACATGGCAGACAGGCCCCTAGGAATGAGCATGACTGGGTCGGTCAACCAGGTGCAGATTCAGGGTGGTATGGTCGAATCAGGCAGATGGCTGTAAGATCAATTCTCCATCTCACCATTTTTTTGTTGGGTAATTCTGATTAAGTTAGTGAACTTCCTTAAGCTTGCTTTGTACCATGGGGACAAAACATCCACCTCACACAATTGCTAGAGCATGCAGGTGAGGAAGGACTTGACATCTCTTGTAGCTGGTGATAAAGACACACTAATGATCTCTTCTTGTGCATGTTCTTAGTCTTACAGATGTATGCCAATTTTGAATATAAAACCTATATAGCTGATGTTTACTTTTTGGATATTGTAATGGCCCTAGAGCCCACAGTATATACGACATGAACATTCATTCCTTCAGCTAATATTTACTGGGTATCTGTGGTAAGTACTGGGAAGGCAATAGTGATTATCCAAAGGTCACATTTTCCTGTGTGTTGAAGGTGCTTCGTTGAGGAAGACAAATGTGTCAGCTTCTAGGCAGGAGAAATGACATTCACAAAGACACATACTGTGTATAATTGGAGGGTTAGAAGATGGCAGAGATGAGAGATAGCAGAGAAGTTGCACAAGGACCTGGGGATGGACCACAGAGAGTGTTGAATGCCACCCTCGAGATAGCAGCCCCTGTGGCCTGTGGGCCATCGGCAGGACAGTGACAACTGACTGCTTCCCTTCTCTCTCTCCATTTTTTGTTTTTGTATACTCTTAGTGTTTAAAATTTCATTTAATTAACGAATGGAAGTTGGCAACAAAAGATTTTGCTACATTTGCCTGTTCCGATTCTTGACAATTCTCTCTGAGGAGGAGCACTGGGCTACTCACAGTGTCTGGCATCTACTAGGTATTATTTAATATCTGTTCAAATGAACAAAATGTACTTGTATTGAGTTGAACCAAAGTGAAGCCCTTTGGGACAACTTTGGAGCAATAGTGGATTATATTATTCTGGATGACTTACGAAAAATACTTACCCTTAATCAGTCTTAGATGAACCGAAAATTATTCATATTCAGTTCAGTTAATGGTAGTTATTTAGCTAAGTCTTGATTATGTGTAATGGACAGGAGTTAGTCAACAGATAACAACGTGGCCCTGGGTTTCCTCTGCCCCTGGCCTGAACATCCTTTTTATGAAAGGATACTTTCCTGTTTGTAGAGCAGCCAAAGATTCACATGTGAATTCTTTATACACATTGCAAGCAATCCAAGCATCTGACTTCCATTCTTCACTCACAGCTGGGAGCAAGTGTGAGAAATCAGTGGAAAGCTGGAGGTTTGTTAACAGGGGGTTTATTTTGGCACTCGGTTGCAATTAAATCCAGTGGGTTAAAAGCTTCTGAATGCATTACCCTCTTTTAAACAGGCCACTTTCAGAGTGTTTCCACAATGAACAATATTCATCACCAATGTTATATATGGCTGACTTTCACCCTCAAATAATACCTTCTTTCCTTGGAAGGAAAAGCAACTTTCCCATCATTATAATTGAATCCAAACATCTGTCACCCACAAAGGCATGGTTTTAGAGGTTGATTAATGGATATCTGGCTCACAGAGTACATAGAATCATACTCATTTGCAACAAATTTACACACACACCCACACACATGTTTAGATGCTTTCCTCCAAAAACCACGTTTCCATTATCATTTCTTTGAATAAAATTAAGACAACAATAGAGAAAGCGATGTAGGCAGAATAGTAAAAAGAGCAATGACTTGGAGTCCGCAATGACTGATCTTTGACGAGCAACATAATCTCTCCAGTTCTCAATTTCCACACGTGAAAAATATGAATGATGAAACCACCTCCATCATTTAACGCTTATAACCCACCCACGACCTGACATGCTCAAAAGTTTGTGCCTTTGTGTGAGAGTTCCTCTGCCAACTGTGTTCCACGAGACCTTCATCATCTTTCAGAACTCAACAGATATGCCACCTCCCCAAAGAAGCCCTCCCTGGTTCCCCCAAGCAGAATAAGCAGGTCATTCTCAATCATTCCAGAAACCTTGCATGCCATCAGTTTTGTTGCAGCTTTCATTGCATAGTACAGCAACCACCTCACCTAAACTATTAACCCACAGAGAACAGACCAGGTCTGATTGTTTTCATTTCCCTGGTGGAGAGAAAAGGAATAGCACATGAAGGTTCTAATAAAAGGTTGAAGGGAAAAACCAACTGAATGAGTAATTACTTGAATGACACAATATCCTCATAAGGCATAAGAAAAGCTCCCACCTGGCCTGCAGTCTCTTCCCCTCTGCAATGCTGAGACCTTGGTCTTGCTGAAATCTGGTACTAGCCCCATTATGTTCTTGGCCCATCACCTTCAGGATACAGTCCAGATTCCTCATCAAGGCAACCTGACTCTGTCTCTTCATGGCTGAGTTGCCACCTCTTCTACTGCTCTCCTCCTACCCCCCGCCACCTGCTATGTTCTAGGATACTCAGCCAAGGTTCCTGACACACCGTGCTCTCTCATACCTCTGGGTCTATCCCTCTCTCTTACAACCCCATCCACCTTCCTCACTTAGCCAATTCCTAACTGTCTCCAAGACTTACCTAAGATGATTTTTCCTCCAGGAACACTTCCAGGATCCCAGAATCCTCTTATTCTCTGCCTGCCAGAATGTCGTGGTTGTCTCTAATAGGACCATCTGTTTGAGGGTCTGTGGGCTCCTTGTAGACAGAAGCTGGGCCCTGCTCACTTCTATCCCCTGCCCCATGCCTGATGCTGACTGGCCACTCAGTAAGCATGTCTTGCTGTGAGTGGGTGGGCAGATGAATGAAGAGTCCAAGGTGATCAGAAGAGGGTCAGATTCTATAGGCCAACTCTAAAGCATGTGCATGCCACACCACCAGCTGAGGGTTTCCTTCTTGTCCTTTGAGGAAGGTTATTTTCTCCTAGACCTTAACCAGCGTCTGAGAAAAGCATTCTTAAAATCCCCCACTGCAGCTATTAGTTTTTCAAATTCCCCTTGTAATTCATTGTATGTGTATGTGCACATATGCCTATATATATATATAGTTATGTGTGCACAGACACATACACAGTCACATATATAGGTATGTATTTATGAGTGCATACTCAATAAATACTCACTGAAGGTATGTTGCTAGGTGTCTGCAAGTTTTTGATTATCTTAATTCTAGTGTAGAGCCAGATTTTGCTTAGATTATTTCTTTTTAACCCCTCCCCTCCCTCAGCACACACACTTTTATTTCCAAACGTTGTGTTTAGTTTTATTTGGGTAACTCTTTTGCAGGCAGCTTATACTAAAATTTTAAAAATTGAAATTGATTGTGTTTTCTAGTGAGATAATGTAATTCATTTAGGTTTATTATTATTTCTGCTTTTTAATGTGTTCCATTTCTTGTGGTTTTTTTTTCTTTTTTTGCTGCCGTTTTCTACCTTCTTTTCTTCCTTCTGACGGATTAATAATGCTAGATGTCTTCCTTTTTCCTATTATTTGCTTTGGAAGTTGGAGATTCTATTATAATTTGGTGGAATGGATTGTCCCCTAGGATTTTCACTTTACAAAATCACATTTATATTTTCAAGCAGTATCTAAAATTATTCAGCATATCTGTCTTCAATCCAAATATGACACTGCTCTTAGCATGCTTCAAATGCCCTTCACACACCCCTGCTCCATCATCTGTGTTATTGCTCTAAAACTTTAGTTCCATATTGATTTTTTCTTTTTTTAAATAAAACTCTAAATTTATTCAAAATGTTAAAAGATTTTGTTCTCCCTCCAAAATATTTTACAATTTAAAAAAATTAAAACTATATCCTATTTTCTCAGCCACTGTACAAGTCGCTGTTTCCATCTGAGGACTAGTCTCTGGCCCTCCAACACTCTGTCCCTCCTTCAATCCCTCCCCTTTTATTATTGCTGTTAAGTTTGTTTATAAAACCCTCCACCCTCTCTCCCCACCCCATACCCTGCTCTGCTCTGCCCAGCCCAGCGTGGCTTCTCTTTGTGATTCCAGGCCCTTGGCTGCAGGTAAAGATGAATGGATGGGTGCGATGGACAAAGGCAATGCCTGAGGGGCAAGAGTACGCTTTGTGCTTCTGGGAGAATCATTTTTCTCTTGGTCAAGTGGAGGATCATTCTTTTTTGTCCCATGGACACCTGTTCTGAGCCAAATATTTGGCTTAGAGTTGCCCACAGCCATGCAGCTCTGCTTTTTCTGCACGTTTCTCTGGGCGTGGGTCCATGACAGACAGGTCTTATGACTGTACCATTGGTTTGCCTGTAGACTGAGACAGGAAAGGGGCACATGACTAGAATGGGGCTTGATGGAACCCAACTTCTCAGAGAGTGGGCACCAAACCCCAAGGGGGAGGTTTTGGTTTTCTAGTAGGTAAAGCCCGGGCCAACCAGGACCATGGAAGGTAGGGAAAAGGGGAGAAACGTCTAACCATATAGCTCTGGAGCGAGCCATGTTCCTTCTGAAAATCCCCTGTCCATCCCCTCCTTTATTCTGTAGGTTCCAGGAGAATTCCAAAGAGGAGGAAGAAAAATAGGAAAAGGATTCTGTTCTGCTGATGGGAAAAGGCAGGAGCTGACATAGTCCTCAGGGCTGAGGAGAGGCCCGCTGCCATCTGCAGCTGTCACTGCTTCCCTGTTCTGTGAGGGAGGTTGAGTGGGACAGAAGCCAGGCCCTCAGAGGCTTCATCAGCTCTGTTCCTTGTCCTTGACTAATAAGACTGTATGGTGGCCCCCGCTGGACACAGATAAGACCACATGGTTCTCCAGTTGTTTGCCCCTCATCTCCACAGGGCTCCAGGCGTCCTCATCCTGCCCTGTGCCCAGCTGGTAGTGGGTGCCCATGCCCCAGGCGAAAACACAACCATCCTTGGTCACAGCATACCCCACAGAGGCCCCACAAGCCACTGAAGAGACAGCAGGCAGCCTGGAGATGAGGGTGGGTATGCTCTTCTCCTCAGCACCCTCCCCAAGGCCCAGCCGCCCATACTCAGCCTGGCCCAGGCTGTATGCTTTTCCTTCTGAATCCATGCAGACTGTATGGTGCTGGCCACCAGAGAAGCCCACCCAGGACTTGGTGGAATTCTTGAAGGATGTTAGGTTCTGGAGTATGAAGCAAGATTCTGTGTCCGGAGTTCCAAGCTGATGGTAGTTGGAGAGGCCAAAGCCGTACACGTGGCCCTCGTGGGAGATGGCAAAGGTGAAATAGGCACCACAAAAGGCATCCTGGAATCTCACGTGGCCCCAGCTTCCCCTGGATTTCAGCATCACACACTTGGAGACCAGGAGTCATTCAAGACTTTGCCGGCCACCACGGTTGGCAAATAACTCAGGCACACAGCCTAGCTGGCCCTGTTCCCCGCAGCCCAAAGTGTAGAGGTCACCATCAGCTGTCAGCATCACCAAGTGGTCATTTCCTGAGGCCACCTTTACCACAGGCACGTCCAGCTGCACCTGCACAGGCACCATGCTCTTCTTCATGGGCTCCAACAGCCCAATCACACCATTATTGTCCTGGAAGGAGCCTCAGAGGAAGACATGGCCATCCTCCGTGAGGGCTGCTGTGTGACTGTCTCCTGCTGACACCTGTACCACCTTCTCTTGCAGCTCCACTTTCCCAGGGATCATCTCCGAGCCCTTCACTGATGTGTCCCTTCCCAGGGCACCCTCATCATTGCAGCCGAAGGAATAGACCTGGCCACTTTTGCTTAGACACACGGTGTGCATGCCCCCAGCCTCAGCCTGCACAACATCCTCTGGAATGGATACCAGGGCTGGCTTCTTCCTCTCCATCACATTCTCACCCAGTCCCAGCTGGCCCACATCGCCCTGGCCTAGTGTCAGCACCAAGCCGGGTTCTGTGCTGTGGGACCTGTGTGAGACTTGGCAGAAGCGGGCACCAGGAACGTGGCGGGAGGCAGCGGCCCTCGCATCCTTCACCTTCTTGCTTTTGGGGATGGCATCTGCTAGGGGGGACCTTCTTTTAGCTATGCGCTTGGGTGACATCTTCCTGTCCTCGGTGCACGTCGGCCACAAGGCCCATATTTATTTTTTCTATCAAGAATTCATTGCATCTACCAACATAGTTTACCAGTTCCTTTAATCACCATTTCTTGTTGTATTCTACTCCTCTGAATTTAGTTTCCTTCTTGCTAAAATTTATCTTTTAATGGTTCTTTCAGTGGAGGTATAAACTCTCTTATTCTTGTATGTCTGAAAATGTCCTTAATTCAAATACTCTGGAATGACAGTTAACTGGGTGCAGAATTTAGGCTCACAGCTCCTTTGAAGATGACTTTCCATTTTCTTCTCACCTCTATTGTGGTTGATTGGAAGTCTGCTGTCAGTCTGGGTATAATTCTTTTGTAGAAGTCTTAGTCTGTTTAGGCTACTATAAAATAATCTTACAGGCTGGGTGGCTTATAAACAACAGAAATTTACTTCTCACAGTTACAGATGCTGTGAAGTACAAGATTAAAGCTATGGCAGATTCAGTGTCTGGTAAAAGCCTGTTTCCAGGTTCACAGATGGCACCTTCTCACTGTGTTCTCACGTAGTATGTCAAGGGATCTTTTTGGGGTTTACTTTATAAAAGCATTATGGGCTGGGCATGGTGACTCATGCCTATAATCTCAATATTTTGGGAGGCTGAGGCAGGCAGATTACATGTGGTCAGGAGTTTGAGACCAGCCTGGGCAACATGGTGAAATCCCATCTCTACTACAGACATAAAAATTAGCCAGGCATGGTGGCACTCACCTGTAATCCCAGCTAATCAGGAGGCTGAGGCATGAGAATAATTCAAACCTGGAAGGCAGAGGTTGCAGTAAGCTGAGATTGTATCACTGCACTACAGCTTGGGCAACAGAGTGAGACTCTGTCTCAAAAAAAATAAATAAATGAATAAAAATGAAAGCATTATGATCTCATTCATGAAGGCTCCATATTCATGACCTGCAATCATCTCCCGAAGGGCCCACCTCTTAATACTATCACCTTGGGGGTTAGAATTTCAACATAGGAATTTCAGGGGGAAACAAAAATTCAGACCATAGCGGTAGACAATCTCTTAGGTAGACTTGGATAATTCCTCTTTAATTTTGAGCTGTTATATTTTATTTATGATTAATATTCATGTATAAACTTATTATTCTCAGTATATGATTTCAATATAAAGTTCCCATTCTTTGTTAACTCTTGAAAATTATCACCCATTGTCATTCCTAATATTGTCCCTCCTCCTTCCCTTCTACTTGTTACTTCTGAAAGTTGCATTAGATTGATGTTATAAGTTCTCAATCATTTTTCGTATCTTTTAACTTCTCTTTAAATAACTATGCTTTTAATTATTTTTTTCCTTTTCATGGAGCTCAGATACTGAGGGTTGTGTTAATCACACACTTCACTTCATGACAACTAGTGTATAACAAGGTCCCTCACTTGTTTTATCTATGTGTTTATTTTATTTTACCATGATTTATTTATCTCCCCTCTCCCACAGAAGAACCACTCCTGTGTGTTTAATGTGTATTATTTTGTTCATATGTGATATTAAAACATGTATTGTTTTCTGAACATGTATTTTTAATTTATGGAAACAATTATATATGTCACACTGTATTTTGTAAGAGACACACATATTGTTGTGTGCATGTCAAGTTCATTACCTCTAATTGCTGCATATTAATGCTTGGTGTACTCCAACCAAGTGTTACTAATTCATTTCCCAATGATAGCATCCAATCTTCTCTATAGCCTTGACACTACAGATAAATCCCACTTGTATTTGTCCTCTTACTGGATTTAGAACATTTCTTTGAGATATCCCTATTCCTACCTCTATACACATATCTGTCTATCCGTCTCTCTCTCTGTATCCATCTATGTCTCTACCTATCTCCAGGAACATACCTAATTTAACTAGTGCAAGATTGCCTTTCAGAATAGTAATAGCTTTTACTTCCACTAGCTATGTATGAGGTTCCTACATCCTTATATCCTAATGAAAATTTGATCCTAATCAACATTTGGCTTTATCCAACTTTGTTTAATAGTCTCCTTGCTATATATCTCTGTGTGGAATTATGCGTAAATTTTCCAATGTTATTTTCCATTTTATTAATTGTATCTTTTACTGTGTCTGGTTTATTTATTTTCATCCCATCTACTGAACTTTCAGTCTTTTACTTTAAAGATTATATTTTTCATTTCATGGGCTGCTTCTTATTATTTTTTCTATGTCCACTTGTTTTTAATTCATTTTCACCAATTTTTGTTTTATAATCAACTGGTGTTTTGATCGATAGTATTTCTTTCACTATTTCTTGGAGAACTGCTTAATATCTTTATTTTTAAATCCAACTTAAATTGTAAGCCATTCTTTCCCAGCCCCATATTCTGAATTGACTTGACTTTGCTTCATTTTTCTCTGTTGCACTTACTAATTCTTAGTGTACTATCTAAGTTAGTTTGGCTATCTCCTTCCCCTGAGCCAGGCAAGGACTTCTGTCTGCTTGTCCATGCATCTTCGGTACCTAGAACAGTACCCGGCACTGTAAATGTGTAGCTTCCCAACACTCCTATTGAATTGGTCAGTGAATGGATTGGTCTATGTTATCTTCATTTCCTCTGAGTGAATCCTTTTGGTTGTTTTGTCTGTTGGATGATTGTTATAGTGGTAGCTTTCCTCGTGTGCTACGAATTTCCTACTGTGCCCATGGTGTGGTATTGGTTTTTGTTTTAGTTGCCTTTTCTTGTCCCTGCATTCACTTCTCCTGCCTGGTGGTTTTGTTGTTGCCTTTACCCAGTCCCTGGGTTTTCTGCACCATCAATGCTCTCATATTTGTGACCCACGGTTTGCACCCATAGAGATATCACTGATCCTGTGCCCAGGCCAAAGCACAGCTTTTCGAGGCTTCCAGAGGATGAATGGATACCACCTTTCCCTCCCGCTACCCCAGGGAAAAGTTCATCATCATCTGCAGCCACAGGAAAACCATCTCAGGCTTGATTTCGTGTCTGTGTGCCCAGAAGCCCAATGAACTTGTAGGTTTCACACACGGAAGCTGGTTCTGGACCACTCCCCAATAGTGAGCTTGGGCCCGGTTTCCAGTGGCAGTTGGCTTTGTGGGACCAGCAACCGTTTCTGCAGCTTTAGCCTTGGGCCATGTGAGTCCACATTCTGTCTCTTGTCACTGCTGATGCTTATTTTGTTTGTGAGTGTAGCTCTAGCTTTTCAACATCTTAAATATATCCCTAAAATAACTTTTTTGAACCACCTTATCATCACTTTGATGAGTTTCACAAGACTATTTTGAAATGTGAAGGTCAAGTGTTGATCTTTTCTTTCTCTCTGCATTTTAGCTCCATCACCATCCTCTGAGCCCATAAGAGGCTGGCAAAAAACACTCCAAACATCAGACAACATGATTCCACCTCAAATACCCTTGCATCTGTTTTCTTTACCTCCTACTTTTTCACTGGGCATCTCAGGCATCATCTTCTTTGGGCAGGATGTCTAGGTTTTGTGCCTGTATTAGTCTGCTTAAGCTGCCATAACAAAATAGCACAGACTGAGTGACTTAAAGAACATAAATTAATTTCTCACAGTTCTGGATGTTGGGGGTCTGAGATGAATGCAGTAGCAGGCTTGGTTTCTCCCATACTCTCTCTCCGTGGCTTGCAGGTGGCTGCCTCCCTGCTGTCCTCACATGGCGTTTTGCCTGTATGCATACCCTCAGTGTCTCACCCTCGTCTTAAAAGCTACTAGTCAAATTGGATTAGGGCCTACCCTTTTGACTTCATTTAACTTTATTTCTTCCAAAGATTCTACCTCCAAATACAGCCACATTGGAAGTTAGGGCTTCAGTGTATAAATTTTAGGAGGACGCAATTCAATCTATAAAACTCCTACTAAGATCCTATGCTAGAATCGAACAGAAATAATGAAGCAAATAGATACTCATGCATTTGGTCTTTCTCTTCATTTAGTCAATGGTCTTAACAACAAGAATGAAGCAATGTCTTTCCTGATTTGAAGTTCATAAGCACCATCCCCTTTGCACATATGCCGTAATGTTCAACCATCTATGTGATTGTGTGTTATGACTGTATGGAGGTGGTATCCACTGAGGTTGAACTTCAAATTATTTTGGTAAGATTAAATGCTGATTATCAGTGAAAACATCACATTACCTTGGAGTAGATGTTCTTTGATAACTAGATGTTAGCCAGGACCCTTTGTGTAACTAGATGTCAGCAAGCAAGTGCCTGTAGCATTTACAGCATATATTTACTGTTCTGCATTGAGAAAGCCACGTTTTCCAATATTCCTCATGATTTCTGGGAAGAAGTCAATATCTCAAGCCCTCCCACTTTGAGGTTCAATGTTAGGGAGTGGATTAAGAAGGATCCTATTGGGGAAAGATGATGAGAAAGAACAGGGGAGTGAGTCCCTCATGGCATATGTGCCGTGGAAACAGAGAGAGAGAGACTGGCCATCCTGGCTCAACTAAGGACCTAGGTGGCCACAAGAAGATGTGGCTGAAGCTGACGAACCTCCTACCCAGTCTCTATGGGCATGTCTCACGAACATGTGTGAGTGTAAGGGTGTCTCCTTATACATACCTACTGCATGTGCGGGTAGGTAAGTTAAAGTAGCCATCTACCCGAGTAATTTAACACTGGGAGCCCAGGCGCATTCCCCGGGGATCCACCAGTGCTGAGCATCACTAAGCAGGTCAGAGAGTCCCTCTCTGTCTCAGGTCCTGAATCACTGTTGCCATGCACCCAGAACTTTCTACATCTGACCAGGGCTTCCCAAATAGTGTTTAACAGCAGGAGAGATGCTCAGAAGAGAGTGGCACCATGGTAGATGCTGGTGAAAGTAATTGTCCTGCCTTGGGGCCTGGGCCAGACTTTGAAGAGTTTTTGGATGATCCAACCCCAGGGGTGTGGAGTATGCTACTTGGGGAGGAAAAGAGGAGTATGAACACATGCTATTTTTAAATTTAAATATTAAAAGCAATGAGAC